AACAAAATTATATCAGAGAAGGAATCAGGGAACTCCTGCATGTAAAGTAGCCATGATATTTGATTTCTGATGCAAATTTCCAGAAGGACTCCTGGAAATTGGTGGGAAAGAGGGAGAGCAGTTCTCTTCCAGAGGTCACTTGGAGCTGGAGGCTGAGGAGGACACTCAGCTCATTTTGGCTCTCACCATTTCATAATTTTAACGTAAGAAAAATTACATCCTAAGTGCCTGCTAATGAGTTAATGCACCACACACTGGAAACCCAAGAACTGCAGTGTTTGGTGTTAGGAGAGAGCCACAAGTTCAGGCCCCAAACCTCTTTGGCCATTTTTAGAGGTGCATTAATCCACAACTTCCTTTAGGGATAAGTGAAATGGGAGTGAGTCAGCTCATCTTGAACTTCCCAGTGAGCCCATTTTGGATGAAAGGTCACCTTCTGTCCTTGGGAGCAAAACAAAATTGGGGCAAGAGTTGCAAGAGCAGAGCAGACAATCATTGCCATTATCCTCTCCGTGGCTGGTGAACTCCTTTTTCCATGAGATTAAAATGACTTCATCTCACTAACTCTTATCAATCAGTTCTGTCTCCATGTCCTAACTGTCCTCGAAGAGGAAAAATCCTGGAATCACAGAATGGTTTGAGTTGGAAGGGACCTTAAAGCCCATCCAGTGCCACCCTTGCCATGGGCAGGCACACCTTCAGTGTCTCAGGCTGCTCCAAGCCCCACTGTCCAACCTGGCCTTGGGCACTGCCAGGGATCCAGGGGCAGCCACAGCTGCTCTGGGAAACTGTGCTAGAGCCTCACCACCCTCACAGCCAGGAATTCCTTCCCAAATCCCATCTAACCCCGCTCTCCTGAAGCCATTCCCTGTGTCCTGTCCATCCATCCCTTCTCCAAAGTCTCTCTCCATCCTTCCTCCAGCTCCTCCAGGCCACAGTGAGGTCACCCCAAAGCTTCTCCTCTCCAGGCTGGACAACCCCATCTCTCCCAGCCTTTCCTCCCAGCAGAGCTGCTCCATCCCTGGGATCATCCTGGAGCCTCCTCTGAACCATGCCAGGGATCTTTGGAAAAGGAGGAGAGGGGGAAATGGAGAAGGAACAGCAGTAAACAGAAAATTCTGGCGCCGCTGGACTGAAGGGAAGTGGCATCACTGAAATCACTAAAAGTAGGCTCGAGTCTGATCTGAAAAGCAATTTAGAATATGAGCTTTTCTTTCCAAATGAGCAGCAAGTGCCTTCCTTCACCCAGAATTTGGTGCTTTCTATTACATTTTGAATTGATTGGCTTTATGGCCCAGTGCTGGGGAATTGCCCTAGCATGATCTCGTCTGGCTCATGTTTCTAATTCTGGCAACTCTAAATCCAGATGCCCTGAAAATCCAGGCTGTTGCTTACAGCACATACTGGAGGTTAATCTCCATTTCTGTGTACCCAGGCAAAATCCAGGAATTGGGATGTATGGAAGATTAGCCCACAAGGTGAAAAGGAAAGGAAGCCAAGGAAGAAAATGCAATAGAAAATGTCCACATGCAGAGTGTGGAGGTGTCAAAATAAACCCTAACCATTATTCCACAACAAGAATTCAAGCAGGTTTTCTGCATTATCTAGGATTTTTCTAATGGGAACAGTGAAATTGCCATCTGAAGGTGTGTCCTGCCACCAGGGTCTGTGGGCAATGGATGGAGAGATTCAGAAAACAGAGTTCCAAGTCCATGCTCTTCCTCTCTGTGGTCCATGTTCAGCCTCCTTTAGGACATTAAAACCTCCACTTCGGCTGCCAGGTGACAAGAGGCCTCTCTACTGAATAAAAAGGGTTGAAAAGGCTGCAGCACGTTGTGGTGATGGAGGAAAAGAGGTTGTGGACAGGTGGAGGTCAGACTCTTCTCTCACATACCAGCTGATAAATAGGAAAAAACAGCTTTTCTTTGTGCCAGGAGAGGTTTACATTGGGTATTACGGAAAAATTCTTCACCAAAAGGGTTGTCAAGCGCTGGAAGAGGCTGCTCAGAGGAGTGGTGGGATCACCATTCCTGGAGCTGATTTGAAAACACCTGGATATCCATTAGGGACGTGGTTTGGTGCTGGGTTAATGGTTGGGCTGGATGATCTCAGGGATCCTTTCCAAGTTAAGAGGTTCCACGATTCTGGGATGTGGCTGCAGGAGGGGGGGAAGGGCTGGAGGAGCCCTCTCAGGGCTGGAGGGTGGCTCAGAACTCTCAGCTTGGGTGGGAACACATCACCCTGGGGGCATTATTTTGCCTTGGATCCCTGCACGAAATTCCAGCTGCTGCCAGAGGAATCTGTGCATTCCCACCCAGGGCTCTGATCATCCCAGGAAAGGTTGAGGAGAAGCTCATGTAGCTCATATATAAGTGGAGTATGGAGTTGTTTTGGTTTTGTTTTTTTGTTTTTTGGTTTTTTTTTTATACTGGCTATAATAAATATCAACACATTTAGAAAAAAAGAAAATTGGGCTTAAAGGGAGGAAAAAAGCTACAGCTGAGTGTGGTTCACTAGAAGGAAATACCCAAGGCTGTTGAAACATTAGATAAAAAACTGATCTTGTAACGTCAGGAATCAGTGAGGATAACAACTGTCAATTTTGTCCAATAAAACCTCCCTTTTATTTTGCCTACTTTGCTCTTTTATTTTTAATAGCTATCCATTAAAAATATGGCACCCACAATTTGCTGGTATTTGCTGTTCTGTTTTAATGCTGTCTATTAGTTCTTCCCTCTCCTTTTAATATTTACACATATCATCAAATGCTGGGCAAAATTTCTCTGCTGAAAAAAAAGAAAATCCCACGAGTATAAATCAGTCACAAATAACTTGTTACTGAGGCCATGGCTGGGCTTTCTGTGCTGCTCCAGTGTCCCACTGAGTTTCAAGTAGCACTTTTATATTAGAAATAATTCATGTTAATGTCATATGGTGCATTATTATTTCTTAGCTTCATCAGAAAATAGCACAACTGTCCTGCAAAAAAAAAAAAAAAAAATCAACAGTTATGCCCTAATAAATAACTGATAATGAGTGGGCTAAGAAAAAATTGTGGCTAGGAGCATCAGTTCGACTTAAGCTACTCCAGCCTGAAGGATTCCAGCTGGAAAAGCCTAGTTTAAAATTCTTACACTTCCTCCATTTCATGTGCACTCAGCAATGCTTATGCAGCTCAAATAATCCCTGCCTGTACTGAATATATGGCGTGGCAAATGCCAGCAGTGTATGGAAAACAGGATCCAGCCTCCAGCAGAGCAGCCAGAATGGGATGAAGGGACCTGAGCAGCAGCTGAGCCTTGGGCTGAGCTCTGCCAGTGCAAACAGGACCCTCCAGCAGCCAGGAAAGCTCTGCAGTGGCTGGAGGGGGACAGGACAACCCCCTGCATCCGATTTCAGAGCCCTCATAGGGAGGCTGAGCTGTTGATACAACAGCATGGGAGGTTGTGGTCCCTAAAACACCCCTGGGACAGTGTGACAGAGATTTAACAGAAATAGTGCCCTCCAGAGAAGGGCTAGAGGTAAATTCCAGCTGATGATTCTGTTTCTCTGTCTGTGTTTGCTAAATTAATTAAGGAACAGAGAGGGAATAAGAAAAGTGAAGCCTCATCAACTGCTTCACTAACTGCTGCACAAAGACTCTCAATTCTGACTGTCCTCTATCAACATTTTCAAAAACACTAACATGTCTTCTTCTTCTTAAATAACTTCTAATATAGAATCCCAAGAATATTTGAAAGGCTCTCTCCAAATAAAAGGAAGAGGGGAACCTCAATATTGAATATGAAGACGCTGTGCAATATAGGAATCTCATGGGGACAAGGAGAGGAGATATCAGGGCAGGGAAGGAGGTTAAGCTGAGCTTTGAGCCCAGTCTAATGGCATGAGCCTCTTGCAGCCTGTGCAGCTGGCAGTGTTTCTGCCAAGGGCAGGAGAGCAGGAGAGCTCAGCTCTGTGCTCTGCACAGCTCTGGCCTTCCCTAAATTCCAGGATTTCCACTGAGGAACATGGCAGGGAGAGCCATGGGATGTTCCTTCTGAGCTCCTGGAGCATCTCTCCCTGGAGCAGCGGGCTGGCAGCTCTGCCAGGCAGGAGATCCCAGCAGGGATCAATGATCCCATCAGGGATCAATGATCCCATCAGGGAGCAGCACACCCCGCTGGGATCTCCCTGCTCCCCTGCCAGCCTGGGCTTCCACAGCTTCTCCTGCTCAGAGCTGGCAGCTGGAGCCCATCCCTGACTGCCCTGCAGGGTGGCCAGGGCTTTTTGGGCAGAAATGCAGCTGGAGCTGTGTTCCAGCCCTCCCAACACTCGGACCCAGCACCCCCAAACTCCTCCCGACCTTAACAAACCCAGCGGGCCGGGAAGCAGCTCCCCTTTGCAATAATTACAGCAGAGTTTCCCTCCCCCTTGCACTGCCTATTGCTTTTGTCCTTGCCATGGGTTGCTGGAGACAGAGGGACTAGTAAAGCTCAGAATATTTCTTTCTGGACAGTCAGGGCGAGCTTTGGGAGAAAACTCCCTCTTTTCTCTCCACCGCTGCCACTTGTGCTGGGCAGGGCAGGGAAGGGAAGGGGATGGTTCCCACTACAGGCTGCCTGGAGCACTCCGTGCCTGCTGAGCAGCGACTGCAGCAGGGGAACGCTCTCCCCTGGTGGAAACAGAGCCTTGTAAGGATATTTCTGCAAGGTACAATAATTGCTCGAGCATCCACCTCTAAGTTGGGTCTCCATTTCAGTATTTCAGTATTTCAGGTGCATTTCAGTATTTCAGTGCGGACAACTGAGGCTGGAAAGAGGCAGCCAAAGGGCACCTGCCAGTGCCCACCCTGCTGACAGCATCCCCACAGCTCCAGGATGGGCTTTGGCAAGGAGATAGCTCGCTTGCCAATAATCATAATTATCATTAATAACCGAGTGACGTCCTAATCTGGGTTACATCAGCCGTCCCCTTCCCCGGAGCTGCCGCCAGTCACACTCACGCCGAGCAGAGACACGAGGGCCGGGAGCTGCTGTGGCTGGAGGAAGATGAAGGGGATGGCCCGAGGTGACTTCTGCCTCCTGGCTGAGGGGACAAGGGGACATGGCCGGGACAAACCCTGCGAGAGCCGCCTCTCTGTGTGGATTTGAGTCTCCTCAGCGCTCTGGGAAACTGCGGGGGCATAAAGGCTGGAAAGGGAGGTGCGGGGCCATCCCCTCCCTCCTCCTCTCCCGGGGCATCCCTCGGGGCTGTCCTGTGTCCCAGCCGGGCAGGGGGCACAGGGGTGTCCGTGTGTCCCTCCCTGCCTGCGGGGCAACGCGGGGGATGTCCGCGCATCCCCGCAGCGCTCCCTGCTCCGCATCCCAGGGCCACCATCCCTGCCCTCCGCCAGCCCCTCTGCACAACCCGACGGCCGGAGCCCTAGAAAGGAAAACGAGCGATATTCGGGGGCGTTTGGGAAAGTTGCAAGGTCAAGGCTCCCTCCCCCTGCTCACCCCCACCCTGCTCCAGGGGCGGCATCCATGGGGAAGGGGGGCTGCCCCCCAAACCCAGCGGGGTTTGCTCCTTTAGGTCGCTTTCCTGAGTTGCTGCCAACCCCCTCCGTGCGAGCTTGTTGCAAGAACAAACTGTTGTGATTCCCCCTCCGGCCCTTTTTCCCCGCCTCCCCCCATTCCGAACGGGGGGTGTCAGCGCACGGAGCCCGCCGTACCCCATGTCGCTCCCGCGTCAGAAAATGAATGATGCAGCAATTTAATTAGGAGGGAGCGCTGCGTCCATATTGCACCGCTGGAGGAGAGCTCGGCAGCCGGGGGAAGATGCTGCGCGTCCGCGGGCGCGGAGGCTGCGCCCCTGCCCGCGCAGAGCGGCCCCGGGGCGGCGGGACCCCGCGGAGCCCCCCGCACCTCCCGCCCGCGCCCGCGGCTCTGCCCCCGAACTTTCCGCTCCCGAGCCGCGGTTCCAGTTAAGTCTCTCCCGGCCGAGCCACCGCGGGGTGCGGGAGGGGGATCCGGGGAGCGGGGGGGGTCCGGGATGCTCCGGCAGGTACGCGGAGATGCGCGCAGCTGCGTGCGCGCAGGGATGCGCAGGGGTGTGCGCGGGTGCGGAGAGAGCGGGGCTCACCTCCTGTCCTGCCCGCAGCCCTTCCCTCCCGGCTGGCCGAGCCCCGGGGCGGACAGAGCCCCCAGAGCCCCCCGAGCCCCCTGCGCATCTCACCCACCAACTTTCCCCCGCTGCGCGCCCCTCCGCGCCCGCGCAGCCCCGTTACCTGCGGCGGCTCCCGGGGCGGGCGGGCAACGCGGCCCCTCCGCCTCCGCGCACACGGCGGGAGGATGCGGGAGGTGCGGGAGTGTCCCCGAGGTGTTGGGCTCCGCGGGAAGCTGCGGGATCCCGGCGGGGCTCGGGACGGGCGCGCAGCGGAGCGGAGCAGCGCTGGATGCCGGAGCGGGACCCCGGGCTGCTCCCCGCCGCAGCCCTCGGCTGGCACTCGCAGGCAGAGCAGCTTTGATTTCCTCCAGACTTGGGCTTTTTGTTCCGTTTTTTTCCCTCTTTTTTTTTTTTTTTTTTTTTTTTGGAAAGGGGAGTGCGGGGTGAGTGCAAATTCTGCCCCACCTCGGCGGCTTTTTTCCCTCTCTCTGATTCTTCTCAGGTTTTTTTCCTCCCCCATCTGCCCGTTTCCCACTTCCCTTCCTCTCTGCCAACCAGCCCCCTCCTTCCCTCTTAAAAAAAAAAAAAAAAAAAGGAGGGGAAAAAAAATAAAAAGGATAGAGAAAAAAAAAAAAAAAAGGCAAGGAAAAAAAAACTGTGTAGTCAGGGCTTCCCAAATGCGCGCCCCCGACCTGGAGCCGAGCGCGCCCCCTCCGTTTGTTCCCCTTCTCGGAGCTGATTTTCATGACGTGGAGGAGCCTGATCCAGGGCAGGAGCGGCAGCGCACACACACACACGCACACACACACACGCACACGCACACCCGCACACGGCCCCGCAGCGCCCCGCACCCGCGCACGCCGCGCACCCGCGCTCCGCCGCCGCGCCCGCCGCTGCTGCTGCCCGGAGAAGGCGGCGGCGGCGCTGGAGCCTGCAGCAGCCCCTCTCCTCCCTCCTCCATTGAGTGTGCCAAACAGCAGCTCTGCATCCTAAAAAGGATCATTGAGGGGCTCATTGCATTCCCAGCACGTTTCAGGCTTGCTTTTTTTTTTTTTTTTTCTCTCTCCTTTTTATTTTTTTTTCCTCTTTTTTTTTTTTTCCTTTTGCCTCAGCTTCAGCAGGAGTAGAGAGAGAGGGAGAGAGAGCCACAGAGAGGGAGAGGCAAGACAAACCAGCAATCTTTAAACTCGAGCTTTCTTTTCTTCCCCCCCTTCCTTTCTTTTGCCTTTATATTTTTTTTTTAATTTTTTTTTTTTTTTTTTTTTGGTAACGATGTGCTAAAATCTCTCCTGCAAACCGGTAAGTACAACCTTTCTGGATCCTTTTGTTTCCGCCTAGGGTCAAAGACACCCCCCTCTTCCAAAAAGATATAATAATCCTCTTTATTTATTTTTTTATTTTTATTAGAGCCCTTGCAGAAGAGAACTTAAGTGGCTAATATTTTGCAAAGGAGACAGAGAGATTGATACTGCAATATAGCTCTCGTCTCTCTCCCTTCTCCCCAATTAGATGCTGGTTTTAATTGCAGAGGGTATTTCTCTTTTCGTGCTTTCAACCATCTCCTCTTTCCCACAGGGGAGGGTTTCATTTGCAAGTTGATCCTAAGGATTTCTGTTCCTCTGGCATTTCTCTCCCCTAAATGCATCTTTCTGCTCTTAAGTTTACGGATCAGGGGCAATTTTTTCTAGTTCTTGCACGAGGAAGGCAAAAAGGACCTTTTTATTGGGAGATTGAGACTAAAAGCAATGATCGCTCCGAATCATTCTAGTGGGCATTTCAGGGATTCAAGGAAGGCTGCATCACCACCGGTATTATTCCCATCCTTAGCGTTTCCCTGTGCCCATACATTTAAAATATCTGGTGAAAGGAAGGGTGAAACCATATGTTGAAGGAGCTGCATCTCATTAGGGCAGTGTTATTTTCATCTGATTGGAGAAGAATGGTGTCTTCATTCGGAATCGTGTATAGTAGGATAGAGAATTTATCGGCTGGTAAGTGTCAAGGTATTTTTTTTCTTCCACTTTCAGCTTTTAAACCGGGTCTCCTGCTTGGTCCTGGGGGCACAAAATGCCCTAATCCAAGGCAGGCTGAGCGTTTCAATCCTAGGTGCCTCTTCAGCTGTCACTTCCCTTTAGATCTGCTGATCGCATGGGCATGTGCTTTAGAAAGATTAATCATCTCTAAATGCTTTAATCAGCTAAAATGACTAATATGTGGTCTGTATTTATCTGATAATATACCAGTTGCATTAATTGACCGGCGCTTTTTGGGAGGGGAAGATTTCCTTCCCGAGCAGGGTGGTTAACCATTTACTGGGGTAAAGATGCTGTGGGGATTTCTGAGGGGAACCGTTCTGCCAGGGACAGCAGCAAAGCTCGCACATTGCCTGGAACTCGCGTGTGGAATCTATCGAGCCGGGAGGGAGGGAGATGCGAGGGTGGAGGTTCAATAACTTTGGGAGTTTGCATGGATGAAGGATGTGGTGCGACACTGGAGAAATGTGCCCACACTTGGTGTGTTTTCCCCCCCTGGAGTCGAGGCGGGCTGTGATGGCTCCCGGGCTGAAATTGCACCCAGGGATGAGATCCGGGCAGTTCCGAAGCCTGGGAAACGCGGAGAGACGCAACACGTTCGGTGTGCTCGTGGTGCCGTGTGGGGCTGCATGTGCTGTCCTCTTTATAGGTGGCATTTACCACGGGGAGGGGAGCAAGGCAGGCTGCTAGCGCGTGATGGAGCCCTCTAACATCTCTCAAGTATAAATCAGGGCAAGGCTCGCCCAGCCGACACCCCTGGAGTTGGTTGGGAACATCTGCCCAACAACTGCTGAACTTTCCAGGAGCCCGACATGAGTCCAGCAGGTAGGGGCTTAGGAAAAGGAGAGGGGCAGGGCAGAAATACTGAAATCTGTGTTTCTCTTCCCGTTGCAGTTTTGTAAACATCAACAAATGATGAAACCTTCCACGGCAGAGACGCTTCATAAAGGAAGGATGTTGTGGATAATTCTCCTAAGCACAATTGCCCTAGCATGGACTACACCTATTCCCTTGATAGAGGACTCGGAGGAACTGGATGAGCCTTGCTTTGATCCATGCTACTGTGAAGTGAAGGAAAGCCTTTTCCATATACATTGTGACAACAAGGGATTTATAAATATTAGTCAGATAACAGAGTCGTGGTCGAGACCTTTTAAACTTTATCTGCAGAGGAATTCCATGAGGAAATTGTACACCAACAGTTTTCTTCACTTGAACAACGCTGTATCTATTAACCTTGGGAACAATGCACTGCAGGACATTCAGACAGGGGCTTTTAATGGGCTCCGAGTTCTGAAGAGGTTGTATTTGCACGAAAACAAATTGGACATTTTCAGGAACGACACTTTCCTGGGTTTGGAAAGTCTGGAATATCTGCAGGCAGATTACAATGTCATTAAACGGATTGAAAGCGGGGCATTTCGAAACCTAAGTAAATTGAGGGTCCTTATCCTAAATGACAATCTTATCCCCATGCTTCCCACCAATTTATTTAAGTCCGTGTCCTTAACCCACTTGGACTTGCGGGGGAACCGCCTCAAAGTCCTTTCGTACCGCGGGATGTTGGACCACATTGGCAGGAGCCTGATGGAGATCCAGCTGGAGGAGAACCCGTGGAACTGTACGTGCGAGATCGTGCAGCTCAAGAGCTGGCTGGAGCGCATCCCCTACACCGCTCTGGTGGGGGACATCACCTGCGAGACCCCCTTCCACTTCCATGGGAAGGACCTGCGGGAAATCAAGAGAAGCAAGCTCTGCCCCATGCTGTCCGACTCCGAGGTGGAAGCCAGCCTGGGCATCCCTCAGCTGTCCTCCAGCAAGGAGAACGCGTGGCCTACGAAGCCTTCCTCCATGCTGTCCTCCTTCCATTTCACCGCTTCCTCTGTTGAGTACAAAACGTCCAACAAGCAGCCCAAGCCCACCAAGCAGCCCAGGGCGCCCCGGCCTCCCCCAACCCCCCGTGGCCTGTACCCCGGGCCCAACCAACCGCCCGTGGCTGCCTACCAGACCCGGCCCCCCATCCCCATCATCTGCCCCACCGGCTGCTCTTGCAGTTTGCACATCAACGACCTGGGCCTGACGGTCAACTGCAAGGAGCGGGGATTCCACAACATCTCCGAGCTCCTGCCCAGGCCCTTGAACGCCAAGAAGCTGTACCTGAGCGGGAATTTGATCCAGAAAATCTACCGCTCCGATTTCTGGAATTTTTCTTCCTTGGATCTCTTACACCTGGGGAACAACCGGATCTCCTACGTGCAGGACGGGGCGTTCATCAACCTGCCGAACCTCAAGAGCCTGTACCTGAACGGGAACGACATCGAGCGGCTCACCCCGGGCATGTTCCGGGGCCTGCAGAGTTTGCATTACCTGTACTTCGAGTACAACCTGATCAGGGAAATCCAGCCGGCGGCCTTCAGCCTCATGCCCAACCTGAAGCTCCTCTTCCTCAACGACAACCTGCTCCGCACGCTTCCCACCGACGCCTTCGCCGGCACCTCCCTGGCGCGCCTCAACCTGCGCAACAACCACTTCTTGGCGCTGCCGGTGGCCGGGGTGCTGGAGCACCTGCACGCCATCGTGCAGATCGACCTGAAGCTCAACCCCTGGGACTGCACCTGCGAGCTGGTGCCTCTGAAGCAGTGGCTGGAGGCGCTCAGCTCCGTCAGCGTGGTGGGCGAGGTGCTGTGCGCCAGCCCCGAGCCGCTGGCCCGCCGCGACCTGCGCTCGCTGGAGCTGGCCGCGCTGTGCCCCGCCGCCCTGCGCCCCGCCGCCGCCGCCGCCGCCGCCTCGCCCCCCGCCGCCGCCGCCCCTCCGCCGCCCGCCGCCACCGGCGCGGCCGCCTACGAGCTGCCCCCGGGGGCCGCCGCGGCCGCGGCCGTGCCGCTCTCCGTGCTCATCCTCAGCCTCCTCGTCCTCTTCTTCTCCGCCGTGCTGGTGGCCGCCGGGCTGTTCGCCTTCGTGCTGCGCCGCCGCCGGAGGAAGATGCCGTTCCGCGGCCCGCGGGCGGAGGCGGCGGACATGGGCGCGGTGCCGCTGCGCTGCCCGCGCCTCTTCCCCGAGGGCGGCGGCGGCGGCGGCGGCGGAGGAGGGGGCGGGGGGGGACCCGGGGAGCGGTCCCCGGAGAAGGCGCCCCCGGCGGGCCACGTCTACGACTACATCCCGCACCCGGTGACCCAGATGTGCAACAACCCCATCTACAAGCCGCGGGAGGAAGAAGAAGCGGCGGGCGGCGGCGGCGAGGCGGCCGAGCTGCTGCGGGGCGGCGGCGAGCGCGGCTTCGCCCATCCCGCAGCCCCCGCCGCCGCGCCGGAGCCGGTCAGCAGCTACCGCACCTTGCTGGAGAAGGAGCAGGAGTGGAGCTTGGCCGTGTCCAGCTCGCAGCTCAACACCATCGTGGCCGTGCACCCCCAGCACCCCGCGGGCGGAGGGCTGGCGGCGGGCGCGCTCGGGGCGGCGGCGGCGGCGGCGGGGGGAGCCCCGCGGGACCGCGACCGCCCGCCGCCCTGCGCCGTGGGCTTCGTGGACTGCCTGTACGGCACCGTGCCCAAGCTGAAGGAACTGCACGTCCACCCCCCCGGCATGCAATACCCGGACCTGCAGCAGGACGCCAGGCTGAAGGAGACCCTGCTCTTCGCGGCCGGCAAGGGCTTCCCGGACCACCAAACCCCCACAAGCGAATACCTCGAGTTAAGGGCCAAACTCCAAACCAAGCCGGATTACCTCGAAGTCCTGGAGAAGACCACGTACCGGTTCTGACCGCCGCCCCGCTGCCCGCCCGGCCCCGCCGCCCGCGAGCAGAGGATCCAGCTGTGCGCTCTGCCCCGCCAGATGTGCGCGCTGCGGGGCAGGGCCCTTCTCAGATCAGTAATCGACGAAGTGCCTTCGCAGACTTTTGCCAGCAGATGTTAATCGATCATTATTTTTTTATACTGAAACTGAGACTTTGACTGTGCCATGTCTAAAGGTATATTATTATTATTATTATATTATTATTATTATTATCGGGGATCTTTGTATTGATCCTGATTGAGTAAATTCTATGTGTGTCTCTTTCTCTCTTTTTTCTTTTCGCTTTTATTTTCTTTATTCTTGTTGTTTGTTTTGTTCGTTGGCTCTTTTATTTTCCCTTTTTTATTTTTTTATTTTTTTTCCGTTGGCAGTAGACTTCCTTGATATTTTCCCTTGGAGGGGAGGGGGAGGGAAGATGGCATTTTCTGGCCTGCTTTCTTCTTGCCCATCATGGCACAGATTCTGTACATTTATTTAACAGAGAGAGGAAAAAAAATAATAATGCAAAGAAGCAAACGAGCGCAGTTTGCTGCATGCCTGGAAACTGCAAGAGGGAAGGGAGGGGAGGGTCTTGCTCGAATGTCTCACTCTTGTCTCTCTCCCTCCCTCGCACGCACACTCCTCACCCTCACCCTCCGCGCACCCCTCGCCAGCCCAGCCCCGCCAGGGGGGCTCGGGGGCCGCGGGGGAATCCCGGGGCAGTCCCGGGGGTTGGGGGAAGCCACCCGGAGCCGAGCAGCCCAAAGGATGTCACCACGTGGCGCACACACCTAGGGGATGCTCAGTGACACTTCGTCATGACGCCATGGTTTTTTGGAGGACATCCGCACTTTCCTAATAAAAGCGACATGCAAATATGCAGAGAAAAGGAGAAAAAAAAAAATAAAACCCAAAAGCTAATGGGCACCTCTCACTAACAGCTTTGTAGGAAGCACTTTTAATGTTTTCTCTCATGCACCCATACACGCACACACGCACACACACACAAAGGTACAACAATGTGCATATATTTATTCTGTAATTTCAAGTGAATATAAATTGTAAAGGTAATGTTAAATCATTGTACAGTGATGCGTCTGGTATAGCTTTCCTAATAAAACGTTTTGAAAAAAAATGCAGATATATATATATATATATATATAGACCCCCAAATATATATATATATATAGGAATACAAAGCTTGAACCTTAAACTTCAGCTTCCTCCACAGAGATTTCCTTCCCCCTCATAACCTTGAACGCTATTTTATTAATAACAGTTCAATGCACTGTGATGTTAACAGAGAAAAAACCCTGTACAGCGTGTCTTGCCAAGATACCACCCGAGACTGTCACAAATCCGATTTGCGATCCGTATCCCTGCCGCACTGTCCTGACAGTTAAAAATATCGGGAAAATTGGGAGCGCATCCCTCCGGAGCGCTGCTTCCCGGCCTGCCGGAGGCACCGGGAAACATCGCGGGGATGTTGCCGGTGCTGGCAGCGGGGTGAGCACGCAGAGAGCTGCCACCCCTGCGGAGCGGGGATTTAAACCGCATTTCCAGTTCGGAATGGGGGGGGGATGCGATCTGGGAAAGCGAAGCGTACCAGCGGCCGCGCCGCGCTTCTCCCACCAAAGGCCATGGGATTCCCGGGCGGGTCCCGGTTGGTATCTTGTCCGCGTTGGTCTCTGGTCCCCGGCGGTGTCCGTCTGTCCCACCGCTGTCCGTCTGTCCCTCTCTGTCCCCCTGTCCCGGTTCTGTCCGTCTGTCCCTCTCTGTCGCCCTGTCCTTGCTCTGTCCCGGCTCTGTCCCGGCTCTTTCCCCCTGTCCCGGCTCTGTCCCTCTGTCCCTCTCTGTCCCGCTGTCCCGGCTCTGTCCCGGCTCTGTCCGTCTGTCCCGGCTCTGTCCCCCTGTCCTGGCCCTGTCCCGGCTCTGTCCGTCTGTCCCGGCTCTGTCCGTCTATCCCGGCTCTGTCCCAGCTCTGTCCCGGCTCTGTCCCGGCTCTGTCCGTCTGTCCCGGCTCTGTCCGTCTGTCCCGGCTCTGTCCCCCTGTCCTGGCTCTGTCCCCCTGTCCCGACTCTGTGCCGGCTCTGTCCATCTGTCCCAGCTCTGTCCCGGCTCTGTCCCGGCTCTGTCCGTCTGTCCCGGCTCTGTCCGTCTGTCCCGGCTCTGTCCCCCTGTCCTGGCTCTGTCCCTCTCTGTCCATCTGTCCCGGCTCTGTCCCGGCTCTGTCTGTCTATCCCGGCTCTGTCCGTCTGTCCCGGCTCTGTCCCGGCTCTGTCCCGACTCTGTCCCCGCGGAGCGCGGCCCCTCTCGGCCGCCAGGTGGCGCCGCAGCCCCAGCGCTGAGGCGGCGGCGGGGCCTGAGCACGCCCGGTCTCGGTGCCGGGATCGATCCCGGGATTGATCCCGGAGCTGATCCCGGAATCGATCCCGGAGCCGATCCCGGATTCCATCCCGGAGCCGCTCCCCACGCCGCTCCCTGTCCCCATCCGCCCCTCAGATGCACCCGCGGGCGCCTTATCCCGGGGCGGGCGGGGCCTGAGCGCTGCCCTGAGAGCCTTCAGAGAATGGGGCTTATCCAGAATTCCCCAACGTGCCCTTCCCTCAGCATCATTTGCTGAGCAGCCGGCAGGGTGGTTATCCACGTGAATTGAGGTTATTCCCCCAAAAGTGCTGCTGGGAGCGCTCCTGTCCCCAATGGGACCGGAGTCTGTCACCGCCTGGTGACATCGGTCACCTCTTGGTCACATCGCCAAGGTCACCCTGCCCACCACCTGCCCTCTTTCCTTGGGGAACAACCCCTCACAATGCGTTCTCACAGAGATAAACCCATAAATACTTGTTGTCCCCACAATGTCGCTATGTACAGCTCCGGGCAGGATGCTCGTGGTGAGCTCTTCTCTTGGAGATCCATTTCCCCAGCCCTGGTAGCAGCCGTGTGTGTCTGGAGATGGGGGGACAGCTCCGAGCCTCTGTGACTCTGGTGTCACCCTCCATGCCGGCAGTAAAAATATTGCACATTGCAATTTCCTCTGTTGAGTCGAGATTGTGTTTCCTCACTGCTGCCTTCAGCTCTGACCCCTTGGGGTTTGCTCATTTGTTTGTTTTGTTGAGTTTTTAATAGATAGTGGAAGAGCATGCACGTGCTAAGAGTATTAAACACGCGAGTGCAAAGGCCAGATCCTTCTTATCATAATTGTAATAATTACATTGATAAGCCTACATGCAAGTGATGCGTGGAGTTGTATAAATCAGGTTAAAGTACAACCCCCAGTGAGAGTGGTGCTGTATACATTTGGCAATGTCCTCAAAACCCCAAGTGTTCATACTTGTATCCAAATAGAGTAAGGCCGGTTGCAAATAATGTTTATATTTTAATTAAACTGCAGAAAGGCAAGAGAATTTCATCCTTACTATTGGCAGTAATCTCACCCATGGACAGTGAGCAGATCTATTTATTCTGTGGAAATAAATTTGTTCTATGAGAATGGAATTTTGTATTAAAAGAGATGGAATTTTTGGCTTACGTTGAGTTATTTTTCTTCCCTTGCGTAGGAAACTTCCTTTTCCTTGTGAACTGAGATAATTTGGGGATGATTTGCTCTGGAAGTGTTGACAATGTCTAAGTGTGATATCTAAAGGGTGTTTTGATGACTTTTATTTTGCTTTTTCATTGTGTTGAGCTGAGGCTGAGTGGGTAGCAGCATTCCTTTCCCACTGGAGGAAAGAAAAGTGGATCCATCATCTCTGACCTGCCGTGGGTGACACTTTGCATGCTCCAACCGAGGTTCCTCCTAATTAATAGGGAGTATTAGTGATAATTCTGTCTTTATCATCAGTAGCATTGGTGGCATTAATGCTACTGGGAAAGAATCAAATAAAGTCAAATGATCTGCAGTTGCATTAGAGCTGTTTGATGGGATACTATGTGAAATAAATATTTTTTTTAGCTTATTTCATGGTTGTACAAGTACCTGGTGTCAGCCTGAGCAGCTCAGCCTGTGGTAGTAAAACCTGCAGCAAGTGTTTGGTTTATTCCCTCACTGACCATTGAAATTTTTCCTACAGGTGGAAAAGAACAGCAAGGCCAGGTAAGCCCCAGTGCCAGCCAACAACTGCACACAGGGAAATGGAAAGGATGATCCTGGTGCTCAATTATTGGTGCTTTTTGTATTTTCTGGACGTTGTCATTGATGTCACCACCACATTGTACCCTAGTTTAAAAATTCTTTTGGAAATGGCTTCATGGATCTCTTGAGTGTATCAACAGTGATAGAACGATGTCAAATGTTATGGGATGAGTAATAATCTCAATTTTGGAAAGCCTGTTGCCTACTGCTGTGATTAGAGTGTTACTGGAAAGTGAGAATCTCATTCCTTAGGAGATTCAGTGAGCATGAGGTAAGCTGTGGCAGCTCCAGATTTTGTCAGAGACCTTTCCAGACAAAACCACCTTTGAGTGTGGCAGCACAGCTGATTTGGTTTTAAACCAGAAATATCTGGGTTTGTCCAACTTGTGTTCTCTGTGAGAACCTTGAGAGCACCAGGAGGGAAAGGTCTCTCCAAAGTGTGAGGCTGCTCTTCTGAAGCACTCGGGTGTGCCAAGTGCTCGATGATCTCTGTGCTGCTTCCAGCACCCACTCCACACCAAGAAGATGCCACACTTGGGGTTGAGGTTTAACAGAAATGTTCACGTGAAGAGCAGCGTGTAGAAATGTAGAATTTGGCCCTAAGTGTGGGAGTTCATTGCTCAGGACATTTCTTTACCATGGGTGTGACTCCTGGCAGCGCTCCCGCCACTCCAGGGTGAACTTGTCCCAGGATTGCCATTCATCCAAAGGCACTGGCTTTTACAACGTGGATTTATGGACACTGGGAAATCAGTCTGCTGTGCACTGCATATTCCTATTTTCTGGGTTTTTCCAAGGCTTGGTTTTCAATCTGTAGCTGAGGCTCTCTGTGAATTTATGTATGTATGTATTTGTGTGCACACAATTATGTATTTATGCTGTACACAGTACAACAGAGTTTTTTCTCCATGGAAGAAATGCAAATCGACCCAGGATGTAGCTCACAACAGCTCTTTGTGCAAAAATTCCTATTTTTTAATTCTGATGTGAATGGAAATATTTTTTCCCAGTTCTTGAAATATTTCTGGTTTGATCGGGAAGTGGAAGAATTGGAATGTGCTTGGAAAGAACCTTTGAGTGGGAATGAGTAAAGGCCCAGTTCTGCTCCCTTGGAATCCAATGTTGAAACATCACATTATGCTCAGTTTTAGTCAACAGACTTGAATGAAGAGCAAAATCTGATCTCAGAAAATTACAACATCTATTAAGTGGATTCAAGTATTTTGAGACAAGTACTCCATGGGACTGTTTCAGAATAAAATGAGTAATGGTACAGAGAAAATGGGTTTGCCATCAATTCTATAATTCTCTGATTGACCTCACTCACAAATTAACCAAACAATCTTTAAGGCTTTTGATTTGAAAGACAAATTTGTTTAGCTCTAATGTCATTGGTGACCAACTAGCCAAGATTACTAATGCAACAATTGCAAATTATTTGGAAATACTTTATTAGGATTATCTTTTTCTTTGAGAGCAAGAATTATGAAGGTCCCTTCCAACCCAGGGCATCTGTGTTTCTGTAGCTGACAGGCACTGACAACTGTGTTTCCTAGAACTTCTTTAAAATGTCTTTTCCTTGTTCCTTACAGTTTCCCAGTTGTAAAATTCTGTCATTATCTCAGTTTTGTTCAGGTTTTTGGGGCAGTTTGGCAGATTTCTATGAAAGCATTGACTTTGCTCAGAGAGCAAAGCACAGAGTTCCCCAGGAGGGTGCTGGGGTGACACTTGCAGGTTATTTTTGATCCCTGTGGAAGTGTTTGGAAACACTTCCCTGTGGTGGCATTTTCTCTGCTAAATTGGTCAGTAATTTGGTGTTTCTCAGGATAGTGTCAGATGGATCATTTTTGTGGGAAAATGAGAGGAAAAGGCTGAAAAAGGAGAGCTGCAGGAATGCTCTGTCCCACATTCCTGCTGGGTGGTCTCTGTAGGGTGGGTGGTGCATCAATCCTGATATTTCTGAATGTTAAGGGTGTGGATCTGTTTGGTTTATTTTAATTAGAGGTGTGGACATGCAATAGTCAGCTTTAGGGTGCCTTAAATAGAAGAACAGATACTAGCAGAGGGCAGAGCATATATGAAATATTCATGACCAAGTCCTATGTACTGTGTCCTGAATCTTTAATGTCCATTTACTTTTCCTAACATCTTTATTTTTCCACTAGAATTTTCTAAATCTCTCAAGAATATCCTATATATTCTGTGAATCCTGAAGAGGTATTTCAGGTTAGCCAAGGAATGACTCTCTCTGTACTTGGGAATTCCAACAAATGCCACTGCCTGTGGAGGAATATCCTGCCCATGGCATGTGGCACAGCAATTTGGCTGGTCCCTGGAGCATGCTGCCAGGGAGGGAGGTTCTCTGCAGTGCTCAGATTTTGCAGTAGGAATTCCTGAATTGTGATAAATCACTTTTTTGGAATGGGAAAGACTTCATTTGTGCTGCTGCTTCTGGTGGCACTGCCATCCCTGCTGGCGGTGGTGGCACCCAGCACCATTCCTGAGGAGGGGCTCCTGTGACAGATACTCTGAAAACCAACCAAACAACCAAAACAAAAAACAAAAAACAAAACAAAAAAAAAAAAAAAAAAAAAAAAAAAAAAGAAGCTGAAGAAAGTTTTGGGCCTTTTTGACCTACAGGGACCTTATCTGAAGTTAAGGACATTCCCCAAATATTACAGTGGCATTAATATACTATTTATAAGGGTTTTATGCATTTTTTTTCTTGCTTTCCTTTGCTGTTCCAGAGACAGTAGATGGGTTACACCTTAAGGAATTACAGGAATGTATTTGTTGATCATTTTTTCTGGCTGTACATGTTTAAAACTAAGTCAGTTCCAGCTGTAACTGTCCTAAACTGAGTTTTATAGAAAGATACATAAACCTTTGGTTCTCTACTTGGTCTCTAAATTATTTTATGTGCTTATATATATATATATAAAATGTCCATTATCTAAATAACCCTTGAACCAAAGTCTGTCTTTGAACTTTGGAGGCTTTGGCTTTGCAAATCAAAGTTAATTAATGGGTTGGATTGTGGGTTTGTTGTTTTTTATTTTTTATTATTCTGTGATTATTTAGTTTGATTTTATCACTGGTATGACCAGAGATAGAGGAACATAGCAGTGTGAAAATTCTCATAACAGCACTTCAATTATTGTGTTTCTTTGGAGAGTGAAGGAGCTCTGCTCCAAAGAGTGTAGGAACTGCTGCTCAGAGCTGAAATATCTTCCCTCTGCTGTGCCCTGGGAGTGCCCAGCACAGTCTGGCTCAATGGCAAATGCTAGAAATGCCCATTAGTGAGATTTCAGGGTTGGAGGGGCCAGCCAAGCTGCTTCACCTGACAAATCCAGTCCTTGTGGTCCTGCACTACTAGAGGCACCAGCCCCATGTGTGCTGGGAGCAATGAGAAAATTCACATTGCCCTGCTTTGGTGAAAAATGAGCTTTACAAAAACCAGGCATTGGTAATGGATGCTGGCCAGTTAAGTTTGTCTCTTTTAGGATGCAAATCCAGGTTTCTCTGGTGCTGTTAAACTGCCATGCAAGGGCAGGACTGACCAGTTGTCCCCAAAGCACTGCTGGAATAAATCTGTAGCTAAATGCATTCTTCTTAATCAGAGAGACATTTCCTGTGGCATCACTTCTGTTATGTTTTCTTGCAGTGATCCAAAAACCTGGCTGCTTTGGAAAGTGGATAGTATTGGCAAGCAAAGAAATATGGCAAGTAAAAAGTCTTTTTTAGAACCAGTTGATGTCAGTGTTTTCTTCAAAAAAAAAGGGCAAGTGACAGCCCTGAGGGGTCCTGAGGAGGAGTCAAGGCACTTGTTAAGGCAGAGAGTAATTGTTCAGTCCATGCTTAATTCTCCCCTTCAGTTTTAAACCAATGAAGAGTTGTGGATGGATCCAGTTTATGTAGATAAATACATATATATGTATTCCTCCTGTTAGCAGTGGGGGGCTGTGACACTGCAGCCAGGGAGGCTGATGGAAGGAATGGCAATGGTTAAGCTGTGACAAGTGGGAATTTTGCCAAGGCTGGCAGTGAGAATGGCACCTGAAAGTCAAATGCCTCTCGCTGGCTTCGAGACAGCCAATAACTACATGAAATTCCTGTTGCAAACCTTTGTTTTAGAGCAGGCAGCAAACAGCTCCCACACCTTATTTTCCTGCTTTCAGCCCAAGCTCTCACCATCCTGCAGGTGACTGCCATCCCCAAATTTTATTTTACCTGTCTGCATGCACAGATCCCCCTTGGGCTGAGCACACACCCTGACCCCTCTGTTTGTGCATGGGGTGGAGACCAGCTGAAAACACAATTCTCTCTGTTGGGTTTTTCTGTAGAGTGGTGTATTGCACCTCGAGAGCTCCCTGTGCCCCGCCTGGAGCGCCCTCAGCTCGCTGGCAGCCTGGCCAGCTTGGCCGTGGTGGTGTCCCAGGGTTTGCCAACCAGAGTCTGTCCAAGCCTTCAGAGCACAAAGCCCTGATGAGAAGCATCTCTAGCAGGTACGCATCAGGGAGAAGGAGGAGACCTTCCTAAAATTAGTTGCTGTCAGCTCCAAGCAGGAGCGGTGCCTCGTGTGTCACGGAAACGCTGAGTATGTGCTGTGCGTACTGCGTGGATATCTGAGCGTGTACCTATAATTACACTATTGAAGTGTAAAATTCGAGCTTTGCAAACTTCTGGGAGGTTCAGGAACGTGGCTTGCTTTGGGCTGTAATTAAAATATGGGCATTTTGGTTTAAAAATAGCTCCTTTCCGACCTACATTCCCGATGTAGGTCAGTGGAGGCACTTCTCAGACATATTAGCATTTTGGACACTTAATCTTAGCAGCATATTGCATCTCCTAGAATAGGTTAGGAGAGGCAAGGCAGGAGGAACTGCTGCATCTCCAGTCACCCAGAGAGGTTGCCAAGTTTCTCAGGCACCAGAGAGGCAGAATAATGAGGATTATATTTAATTCTGGGCTGGAGAGACAACTGTGGGGTGTTGAGCAGAGGCAGCTCGGATCATCTTGGCTCTGTGGGGGAGGGAGAATTTATAACTCTAGCTGGCTCCAAAGCAAGCTGTGTGTGCATTTGCGTGTGTATGTATATTTATATATATGTATATACAAATCTGGATGTGTATATAACACCCTGTGTACATATGTATGTATGTATGTATATGCCTACAGTGTACAAAATGTGTATCTATAGAAATGTATACATTTATATGAATTTCTATTTCTCTATATAAATAGTCATGCAACTAGGGGAAGTCACATTTCCACGGCGTGACCTTTTCTGTAACACTCCCCCAAAAAGAAGCTGCTTCCATTAATGTCATATTGGCACAAATGACTTAAATTTTCTTTTCTGTTTCAAAAGGAGTGGTGCTTAGTGCCTGAGCACAAGCCTGGAAGGTTTTTACTCTTCCAGAGGACTTCCAGTAAATCATGAGTTGCTCCAGAGCTGTTTCACATTTGTGAAATAAAGTGGTGGCCAAAATGACTCAGGGTTGGTTTTATAGGCAAAGGAAAGGGGTTGTTGAGTGTGCATTGGAAACCTCTGCCATGTTCTCAGAGTTCTGATGGTGAAATACCTGCACTGCTAATTACTCTGGCTGCTGTTAATTTCCCAGCAACTGGCTTGAACAGGGAAAGAAAAATTCCCTTCTCTAAAGTTACGTTATCTGAAGTTTGATTATGTTGCCTCAGTGATGTATGGATTTCCATTTAGGGTCAGGATGTTGGGCTGTAAATCAAGAATCTGAGCTCAGTGAACATCTAGTTTGGGATGTGTCTTTTCTGTTCTAATTGATTTAAAATAATTTCAATTCATCATCAGAACAAGCTATACCTTAATTCATGATAAGCTCAAAGAATTTCTCATTCATATCAGGGTGAATTTTGCACTTGACTTCGGTGGGGTTGAACGAGGTCAGAGCGTTTCATTCAGCACTGGCATAAAAAACAATCTTGTAGTTGTGCAACTATTAATTCAAATTGTAATTTTGTAATAAAAGCAGCCTAAAAATGATTTGCTAGTTATGTATTCTATGGTTATAGCACCTTTCTATGGATGTGTTGGAGTTGGTGTTGGTTTTCATTTTGTGTTGCTGATCCTAACTCTGAGTTTGGCCCTGAGCAGAGCCAGAAGTGGCTCAGCCCTGGGAATACCAGACCATAACACGCTGCATTTGAAAGGAAAAACTGATCCCTCAGCATTCCTTGAGCTGTGTGCCCAGAAGTGCTGCCTGATTGCTGAGATGCCACATGCACTGTGCAAATATTCCAAGAGATATAGGTCATGGAAGCGTGGATTTGTCACGGGGCTCTTGGCTCCCTGTGGCAGAACCCTTGTCTGATCCCACAGAAAAACCTCCTTGTGCCTCCACCTGACCATTCCCATTCCTGGTCCTTGGGGCAGGGTGGAAATGTCCTGCTGCCCTTCTGCCATCGTTTTCAAGCTGGGATGTGATTAAGAAAGGAAAAAGGGAGAATGGATTATTCCTTCCTAAGCCCTGCACTTCCTTCAGGGAGAAGACAGACAAACATGAAATCAGCGTGGAAATCAAAACAAACACCCAGAACATATGACATTGAGTGAAATGTTTCTCCTGAGCTTCTGGATTGTGCTTTGCCTTATTATTTCATCTGGGAGAAATCAGCACTTTATGGAAAAGTGCTTCCCAATCTCTTTTGCATAAACGTTACAGTGAAGCTTCTGTGATGTATAGCTGCCTGTTCAAGAAAATGGGTCATTTCCATACAAATGTCATATTTCTATGCAGAAAATATGCTGAATTCATACCCTATCTCCTAGTCAAAGCAATCCCTTTGCTGGTTTTGTGATTTCAGCATATTTGCCTGACTGGAAACAACCAGAAAAGGAGAAGGAAAAAATTATTATTTTTTAATTAACTCATGCAAGCCTAATGTCAGACTGAGCACTTGAGTGCAGCATCCCTGGGGCACATAGAGGAACATCATCCTCCAATGGGTAATTTCCTTTTTTGAGCAGGGTGAACCACAGAGCTCAGAGAGCTGCTGCTTTGCTCAGAATTGGGGAATTAAGTTTTTCTGATGTCACTGTTAAAGAAGATGCCTGGATGACCCTGTCCTCAGGGGAGCAGCCTTTCACACAGGAACCCACAGGCTGAGGGCAGCAGGGGAGCGATGAGCTTTGCAAATCTCCTCACACTCTGCAGCAATCTCCTCCTCGCAGGATGAATTTCATCGAAAATGAACCTGAGCTCCTGGCACTGCTGCTCAAAAGAAGCCACAAACCCACCCTGCCTCGGGAAAGTTGAATTTTCCATGCCACTTTATATCTGGGAAAGGAACAGTGGACTTTAGGATGGGAGTTACAAACTGAGTGGATGCTAGAGATGGACAGCCAAAGAAATGCTGTGGCTCAAAGCCTGCAGTGCCTGGGGTAAATCCTCAGAGCCCCACTGCTCCTGGTGTAAATCACTACTCCTGGTGTAAATCCACTGCTCCTGGTGTAAATCCACTGCTCCTGGTGTAAATCCCCAGAGCCCCACTACTCCTGGTGTAAATCCACTGCTCCTGGTGTAAATCCACTGCTCCTGGTGTAAATCCACTGCTCCTGGTGTAAATCCCCAGAGCCCCACTGCTCCTGGTGTAAATCCACTGGTCCTGGTGTAAATCCACTACTCCTGGTGTAAATCCACTACTCCTGGTGTAAATCCACTACTCCTGGTGTAAATCCCCAGAACCCACTGGCTCAAAGCCTCAAGTGCCTGGTGTAAATCATCAGACCCCACTCCTCCTGGTTTAAATCCTCAGAGCCCCACTGCTCCTGATGTAAATCCACTGCTCCTGGTTTAAATCCTCAGAGCCCAACTACTCCTGGTGTAAATCCACTGCTCCTGGTGTAAATCCACTACTCCTGGTGTAAATCCACATCTCCTGGTGTAAATCCACTACTCCTGGTGTAAATCCACTACTCCTGGTGTAAATCCACATCTCCTGGTGTAAATCCACATCTCCTGGTGTAAATCCACTACTCCTGGTGTAAATCCACTGCTCCTGGTGTAAATCCACTGCTCCTGGTGTAAATCCACTGCTCCTGGTGTAAATCTACTGCTCCTGGTGTAAATCCCCAGAACCCACTGGCTCAAAGCCTTCAGTGCCTGGTGTAAATCATCAGACCCCACTCCTCCTGGTTTAAATCCTCAGAGCCCCGCTGCTCCTGGTGTAAATCCACTGCTCCTGGTGTAAATCCACTGCTCCTGGTGTAAATCCACTGCTCCTGGTGTAAATCCTCAGAGCTCCAGCCCAGCAGTGCTGCTGTCCTGTGCTGCTCAGGTGAACGAGGTGTTTGGTCCCTGCTGCTGGAGCTTTCCAAGCAGACATTAGAATTCCATGAAACAATTAAGATTAATCTGCCCAACTTCTCAGCTATTGTGAGCTCCAGCCAGCAAAGTTCTCGGGCTGCTTCCCTCTGCCAGAGGCATTTTTCTGCCTCTCACCCATGGGAATGTAAAGAAGTCACTGCTGTGTGATGGCCTTTGGTGGCACAAGTGTCCCCAAGGCCCCTGGACATTCACAAGGGGTTTTCAGGCTCCTGTTCAACCTCTACACCCACCTAAAAGCTGCTCCTGTCCTTGTGTGCTGGGGAAAAAAAAAAATCTCTAAGGTAATCTCCCTTTACCAAATCCTTCTTAAACCAAGTAAAGATATTTCACAGTAATAAGAAGGATAAAGCTCTATATAACACATTTTATTAATAAATCAGCAGGTATTGACCACCTTGTCTGGAGTATAAGACACAACTGCCAATTTTTCCTCTCACAAAATGCTTTCTTCCTCCTCCCCCTGGGAATCTTTTCTGTGCAGATTCATCCAACTTTGATGAGATACACTTTGTTCCCAAAGTAGCAAATGGGAAAAGAAAGGGATCCTAAGAGATTTGTGTGTGGAGGAGAGCAAAACATTCCCAGAAAGAGGCCCCACTTACCCTACCTGCAGCTTTGGGGGATTGTGTTGTACCTAAACACCAAGATATTTAAAATTTAATTAGAGTATAACTGGAATTAAACTTCTGTTCCCAGTTTCCTATCTCCATGGGGAAGAACAGTGAAAAGTTCTTTTCTCATAAAAATATTATGAGTATAATGTGTGTTATTCCATGTCCAGATCCTCTATTTAATGGAACTTTGCAGATATACAAAAAAGGGGAAAGTTTGTTACTGGCATTTCTTTCTATAAGAAAAGTTTTAAGAATTAAGTAAAAATTAAACAAACAAGAAATTACATTATTAATATAAAAATCATTATTAGCATGCCAAAACAGTGCACTATGGCATTAAATCACTGACAGATCTGGATAGAGATGTGTTAGGATTAAGTTCTGAACACTTAAGGCTGTGATTAAGTTCCTGAAGATTTTTCATCTTCAAAAATTCTCCATTGAAAAATATCTGGTTTTAATTGGAAAACAAAATCCTCAGGCTGACTTTTTTATGAAGATTTGGTAGCTGAAAAAAAATGCGACTCCTTGAATGTAACTTCAAAGAAAAACCTTTTCAATGCTGTTTTCATCTTAAGAAAAACCCCACATTTTTTCATCTGACGGAAACTCCGTTTTGAAGCCTAGGGAAGCTTTCTGAAAATAATACTAATTTAGAAGAAAGTATGTTTTTAACAAAACTTTTTACTCATAGAAAGAGCAATTCTTTTTTCTTTTTTTTTTTCCCTCTTTTATTACCAACTTTTCTGTGCTTTGGTTTGTGTCAGTTTTGTCTGTAGAGAAAAAATGGTACTGTGGTAAAAAACCCTCTCAAGCACACAAAGGTTTTCGGTTTGGACTCAAAAATATTTTCTAAAAGATATTGCACATCTTAAACTTCATTAATTGATTGGTTTAAGGGATAAATAATTGTTGTGTCCCTGGAAATGTCCAAGGCCAGGTTGGACAGGGCTTGGAGCAGCCTGGGACAGGGGAAGTGTCCCTGCCATGGCAGGGGTGGCACTGGATGGGCTTTATGGTCCCTTCCAAGCTAAACCATCCTGGAATTCTCTGATATTAAGGATAAACAAAGGAATGAAGTATTGAAGGGAAGAATAATTAAAGTATTGGTAGCAAAGGGCTTAAAATTAAAAAAAAAAAACCCTGGGTTTCCATTGCCAGAAATGTGGATGTAATCAACAGGGCCTTGGGAATGCCTAATCCTTTGGAATTAATATCCAATAATTTTCTCACTTCTGGTATTACATTAATCCAAATGCAAACTATGACTGAGTTCATGATCTTTGTTGCTGCCACCTTGTCATTACTAAAAGTAATATTTCTAGCAGATGAATAACTGAGAATAGGAGAACCCAGAGAAAAATGGCAATTACTTTTTATTTTCAGGGGCAGGCAACACTGGGCCCAAAAGCTGTTCTATGTATAATCAAATTAATGAAGTAACAAATTAATAACAAATTAATGAAGTAAAAGTGAGTTATTAATTATGGAGAGAATGGGAAAGAGGCCAAATGTGTGTCTTTAGTTGGCCTTGTAGCATTCAGCTGTGTATGGGCAGGCCCTTGACTGCTTAACACCAGAAATAAGATGTTTTTCTGAAGTTTGACCCTTTTACACATCCTATTTTATTTCCACAGAAAAAATGCCGCTGCAGTATGAGCAGGACAGTCTCAATGGCCTAATTTATATTTATTTTCTCTTTTGTGCCACAACTCTTGTCCTGAATAACCCGATGTCCTTGAAGGAGGGCAAACAAACAGGTTTTCATCTGTTTATTTGGGCGTGAAACAAAAAATGTGCAGAGAGGCTGAAGCTCTGTGTGTGCCTAGGACAGGGCTGGCAGCACGATGTTCATGGATAAAGGAATTCTCACTGGCAATGTCAGAACACTCAAATTAGCCCCCGGGAAAACAAAGGCTGTGCTGTACACACCTGCAGCTGTGGGCAAACCAGAGAACAATGGCCATTGTTCAGTTGTTAATGCACTGAATTTCTGTCTCACCTTCATTATTGGCTGACTTTCAGTCCCTGTAATTAATGTG